ACAGAACGTGGCCAGTTGAACCCTTACATCTATGTTTTGTTTAACCCTTATATTTTCACAACGCCAATCGTTGACCGTCAATACATGGCCAGTTTAACCCTTATATTTGCAGAACGCCAATCGTTGACCGTCAATCCATGGCCAGTTCAATCCTTATGTATACAGAACGTCAATACAGGGCTAGTTCAATTCTTATGCTTACAGAACGTGGCCAGTTGAACCCTTACATCTATGTTTTGTTTAACCCTTATATTTTCACAACGCCAATCGTTGACCGTCAATCCATGGCCAGTTCAATCCTTATGTATACAGAACGTCAATACAGGGCTAGTTCAATTCTTATGCTTACAGAACGTGGCCAGTTGAACCCTTATATTCACAGAACGTCAATACATGCCCAGTTTAATCCTTATGTTTACAGATGGCCTGTTTAATCCTTATGTTTACAAATACATGGCCAGTTCACTCCTTATGTTTACAGAATGCCAATACATGGCCAGTTTAACCCTTATATTTATAGTGGAACTTTATGTTTAAAGAATGTCAAGCCATTAACAGTTTTGTCCTTATGCTTACAGAACGTGGCCAGTTGAACCCTTACATCTATGTTTTGTTTAACCCTTATATTTGCAGAACGCCAATCGTTGGCCAGTTGAACAATTATGTTTACAGAACGCCACAACATGGTCAAATCAATCCTTATGTTTACAAATACATGGCCAGTTGAGCCCTTATATTTATAGAACCTCAATCCATGGCCTGTTTTATCCTTATGTTTACAAAACGCCAATACATGGCCAGGTCAACCCTTATGTTTACAATTTTTACAGAACGTCAATTCATGGCCAGTTCAACCCTTATATTTACAGACCCCCAATACATGCCCAGTTCAACCCTTATATTACAGAACGTCAATCCATGGCCTGTATAACCCTTATTTTTACAGAACGCCAATCCATGGCCAGTTGCCAGTTGAACCCTTATGTTAATAGCACGCCAATTCATGTGAAGTTGTGTCTTTATATTTACAGAACGTAAATACATGCCCAGTTCAACCCTTATATTACAGAACGTCAATCCATGGACTGTTTAACCCTTATTTGTACTACAGAACGCCAATACATAGCCAGTTCAACCCTTATATTACAGAACGTCAATCCAATACATGGCCAGCTCAACCCTTATGTTTACAATTTTTACAGAACGTCAATCCATGGCCTGTTTTATCCTTATGTTTACAAATACATGGCCAGTTCAACTTTATATTTACAGAACGTCAATACATGGCAAGTTCAATCCTTTGAACGTCAATACATGGCAAGTTCAATCCTTTGAACGTCAATACATGGCCCGTTCAATCCTTATGTTTACAGAACATCAAAACATGCCCAGTTCAATCCTTATGTTTACAGAACGTCAATACATGGCCAGTTTAACCCTTATATTTACAGAACGCCAATCGTTGACCAGTTCAACCCTTATGTTTACAGAATGTCAATCCATGGCCTGTTTAATCCTTATGTTTACTGTACGCCAATACATAGCCAGTTCAACCCTTATGTTTACAGAACGTCAATACATGGCAAGTTCAATCCTTTTGTTTACAGAACGCCAATACATGGCCAGTTCAATCCTTATGTTTACAGAACGCCAATCGTTGGCTAGTTCAACCCCTAGGTTTACAGAACGTCAATACATGGCCAGTTCAACCCTTATGTTTACAGAACGCCAACACTTGGCCAGTTCAACCCTAATGTTAACAGAACGCCAATACATGGCCAGTTCAATCCTTATGTTTACAGAACGTCAATACATGGCCAGTTCAACCCTTATGTTTACAGAACGCCAACACTTGGCCAGTTCAACCCTTATGTTTACAGAACGCCAATCCATGGCTATTTGAACCCTTTTGATAACTGAACGCCAATCCATGGCCAGTTGAACCCTTACATCTATACAATGCCAATCAATGGCCAGGTGGACCTTTATGTTAACAGAACGCCACAACATGGTCAGTTCAATCCTTATGTTTACAGAACGTCAATCCATGGCCTGTTTAATCCTTATGTTTACAGAACGTCAATACATGGCCAGTTCAACCCTTATGTTTACAGAACGCCAACACTTGGCCAGTTCAACCCTTATGTTTACAGAACGCCAATCCATGGCTATTTGAACCCTTTTGATAACTGAACGCCAATCCATGGCCAGTTGAATCCTTATGCTTACAGAACGTCAATCCATGGCCTGTTTAATCCTTATGATTACAAAACGCCAATACATGGCCAGTTCAACTTTATGTTTACAGAACGTCAATACATGGCCTGTTGTACCTTTATGTTTACAGAACGCCAATCCATTTCCTGTTTAACCCTTTTTTTACAGAACGCCAATCGTTGGCCAGTTGAACAATTATGTATACAGAACGCCAATACATGGCCAGTTGAACCCATATTTTTACAGAACGTCAACCCATGGTCAGTTGGAACTTTATGTTTATAGAATGTCAATCCATTAACAGTTTTGTCCTTATGCTTACAGAACGGTCATCCATGGCCAGTTGAACCCTTATATTTACAGACGGTCAATCAATGGCCTGTTTAACCCTTATTTTTACAGTACGTCAGTACATGGCCAGTTCAATCCTTATGTTTACAGAACGCCAACACTTGGCCAGTTCAACCCTTATGTTTACAGAACGCCAACACTTGGCCAGTTCATCCCTTATGTTTACAGAACGCCAATCCATGGGAAGTTGTGTCTTTATATTTACAGAACACAAATTCATGGCTATTTAGACCCTTTTGATAACAGAACGCCAATCCATGGCACTTGAACCCTTACATCTATACAATGCCAATCAATGGCCAGTTGGATCTTTATGTTTACAGAGCGCCAATACATGGCCAAATCAATCCTTATGTTTACAGAACGTCAATCCATGGCCTGTTTAACCCTTATTTTTAAAGAACGTCAATACATGGCCAGTTGAACCCTTATGTTAACAGCACGCCAATTCATGGGAAGTTGTGTCTTTATATTTACAGAACATAAATCCATTGCTATTTGAACCCTTTTGATAACAGAACGCCAATCCATGGCCAGTTGAACCCTTACATCTATACAATGCCAATCAATGGCCAGTTGGATCTTTATGTTTACAGAGCGCCAATACATGGCCAAATCAATCCTTATGTTTACAGAACGTCAATCCATGGCCTGTTTAACCCTTATTTTTACAGAACGTCAATACATGGCCAGTTCAACCCATATGTTTACAGAACGCCAATACATGGCCAGTTGTGTCCTTATGTTTATAGAACACCAATCCATTGCTTTTTGAACCCTTTTGATAACAGAACGCCAATTCATGGCCAGTTGAACCCTTATATTTATAGAACGCCAATCAATGGCCAGTTGGACCTTTATGTTTACAGAACGCCAATACATGGCCAAACCCTCTTTTTATACAAAATCAAAGGCCTTAGAAAAGCCTACAAAGCATTTATGCATACTAATGGTCAAATATCACAACCTTGATGTTTTTTTGTTTTAAGAATAATTTTTAAAGATTTTATTAGCTCTCCAATTCGGAGAATAAGGGGGCTGATTTAGTCACCCCGACGTCGGCGTCCCACCTTCTGAAGTTAAAGTTTTTGGGCAAGTTTTTCCCAGACAGTGTTGGATCATCACACTCGAGTGTAAGCAATGTGCTGGACCATATTTTAATATTTTAGGGGCCAAAAACAGCTTAATTGGACTTGGGCTTTTTTGGGGCAAGTTTTTTTTGTGAATGGTTGGATCACCACTATCAATATAGGCTGTTGCCTTTTTTAAGGTTGCAGTATATATATGTAGTGTAAGCAATGTTCTGAATTATATTTCCATTATTGTAGGGGCAAAAACTAGTAAGTTGGACTTGGTTAAAGTTTTTTGGGCAATTTTTTTGTGCAGTGTTGGATTGATCACCACCATCAATAAATTGTTGACTATTTCACGTTGGCTGGTCATCTCTTCTTACATGTTAAGGTACAGCAAAACCTTGTTATATTGCCATCATATGTTTTAAGAAATATTGGTCTTATAAATGGGTTTGGCAATACATTGATGGATATCTATAAGGAATTCTTAGGAAAAACATAATTCAGGGACCTGGAAATATGTTGGCGGTAAGTGAGTTGGCAAATTAAAGGATCGGCATTATATCAAGGTTTTACTGAACATTTGTTTCTATTGATATTTGCTATCTTACAACATATATCACCAATAAGTGAGCTATGCTTTTTTCCAACAGTTCTGGTTACTTTTGGTCCCTTTATCCTTGAAGTGGGTCAAGGTCAAGCATTTGAAAAAAATGGATTGCCCTTGATTCCATTATGCTATTGACAAGATATTTTAACGCTTGGTTATTGAGAAGAGTTTTAGAGGTTTAAAAAGTATTAACACAAGTCACCTTAATGGTCAAACTCTATATTTAACGAACTTAGAAACCCTTCATCCAAAAATGCTAATTGCCAAGTACAGTTGTGGGAACGCACAACGCACCAAAAATACCGTGCACACACCGTGCATACATCGTTCACACACCGTCCGCACATCGTCCAAACATGGTGCGCACAACTGTGCGATTTAACAATCGTTCGCCCCGTTATGCGCTTCTCTCCGCACATCTGTGCGATATGGTACAATTTGTTGATCAATATCACGGAATGGAAAAAATAAAGAATGCTCGTATGCAATAATGTACACTGAATATATCACTGTAATTTCTCATCACTATAATCAGAGACGTATACGGAGTATTAATTAAGATTATGTACAAGTTTACAATGCGTGTAATACAGTATACAGTGACCGTTAGACTGGCAAGAATTGGTTTGGCTCCTCGGTAACAGAACAGGTAAATAACTAGTTGATCATGAGTGACCGGAGTTTTACCTGGCATGTACTCGACACATAGAGCTGATATATGATACCGTATGACCGTTATGAAAACTCACCTGGACGTTTAAGTATAGGATAAATCTCGAGCAAACGTTGGTTAAGTGATTTGGAAGCACAGCCTGTCGAGGGCCGATAGGACCCCTAAACCTGGTATAGGTGGACAGTTGGATAACAGTGAATGGAGTTGTTTACCTGTGTTGTCCACACCTGTAAAATGCACTCACTGACACAAACACATACAACCCCAAGGCATTAGTAAACGCCGATGGTATCCAAATGCGATCCAAATGGTATTGATATGAGCTGAGGTGTTCCGAGTACAAAGGTACCTGTCAGATATTTCCAAGGTCATTTCGTGTACTGCTGCCAATATGTTCAGTTCAGCTGACGATGTTTTTATTATGCAATCGACATTTACTAGTAAACGACCAGAATCCGATAGAGAGGTTGTACGAAGCCGAGGTCCCGGAACAACTGATATGTGAAAAAAACGGACATTGTTCGGATGCGGTTCGCGCGTACAAACGCACCGGTGCGGAACAGGAGCAAGTAGCCTGCTCTGTTATACAAGGCACGAAACGTCTGGTCACAGTCAGGACACAGGTATCGGTGGCAACAGCAATTCGTGCATCAAAATCCGTAAAGGAGATGTGTTGGTGGAAATCCCTGTTTGAATATGTATTGTGAAGTACGTAAAGCGGATATGTTTGTGAAAACTGGAAACTTCGGCTAAGTGCATTGTACGTGTATATATTACAACGGCTGACTACCGTGTACCACCAGGTATTAAAGTTGGAATTACATTTACTATATTTCATATTTCTTTGTTATCGTTTTCTTTGTTTCTCTGTTTTTGTGTCTACAAACCCTATTCAACAGATGGGCATTCTGGGTACGTTTGATATGACCATGTGTGACCTGTTGGATAAGTGGTGATCCATTCATTAAATATCCAACCGCTAGCCGTTGGATAGTATGAATAGGTCACTACTTATCCAACAGTCAAGTTTCAAGTTTTATTCAAACTTTGGGCCAATGGCCCATCAGTAAACAAAACATTTTTTAAACAAATCATGGACAATGTACAGAGGATGAAAACAATCATATTCCATTATAATACCCTTAATTTGTTTCCCTCATATATGAATTTTCCTAGTATACACAATTCTTTAATATTATGGACACTCAATAACTGGACGACTTTAAACACAGATGTTTTTTTCCAAATAATAGCTTTTGATAAAACGAGATCTGAGATTTTTGAATTTAGAACAGACCAATAAAAAATGAAATTCGTCCTCTAATTCAGAGGGGGAGTTACACTGTTTACAATATCTACGTTCTCTAGGTATATTATTATACCTTCCAACTTCTATAGCTAAAGAATGGGTAGATGTACGTATTCGAGTTAAACAAATGCGATATTTCTTTGGTATATATTTTGTGAGGTAAAATTGTAATGTTTCTCCAAAATCTATTATATGTTTATACAATAAACATTTTGGAGAGTTTTCCACTGTGGCCCTTAGGAATTGTATGCCTTGATCAAAAATTCTTTGTTTTATCAATGGTAATAACA